CACATTCTCGTAAACGCGTCGACTGGCCCGTAGACCCGCCTGCGCCGCCCTGTTGTGATAGGATGTTATCAAGCTCTGGCTGGAGATTTTCCGTAAGATCGAGCTCAGCCTCGTCCTTTTGGGATTCTAGCATGGCGCGCTCTTCCTTGGCTCGTGCAAATTGCCGCTTCAAGTCTTGTACAGTGCTTCGAAGTGTGATCAACATTTGCTCCTCATCGTTAGACAGCGCTTTCTCAAACTTGGAAGCAATCTCAGCCTCCCAGTCACTCTGTTGTGCGCCGAGCTGATTGATTGTTGACTGAAGTGCTGAAGCGGTCATCCTCTTTCTAGCAAGGCTGTCCTGTATGTCTCGAAGGGTTCTTTGCTTCATTCGTACTTCTTCCCGCATAGGCGCATAGCTGTTTTCGCCCTTGTCCTTCTCGTATTCCCGCCGTCGAACTTCGCTGAGTGCCGCAGTGAGCTGTTGACGCTTTTGCTCAAGTTCGGTGGCAATATCTCGCTTCCGCTGCTGCAGCTCATCATATTGTGTGCGGATCTCGGCCAATGTTTGGTAAGCCCGAATCTTTGACTTGGACGGGTCGTGGTAACCTCCTCGGTATTGACCCTTGCGCGAAGCGTTATCTCCGTCAAGAGTGTACGCACGAACATTGTATTGCTTTGCGTTCTTCTTGCACGCAGTCAAGTCAGGGCAGACAACGATCTTGCCGAACACATGTCTGAATGCATCCTCAAATCTTTCATCGTACCTCAACTTTGGCAAAAGTGGCTGCATGTCCCCTGTCGCAGGAAGGTTCATGTCATGAGCCCGGATGCGATTAAGGGGAATAAAAGTAATACGTCCGCCCTTGTCTTTGATGAGCCGATCAATCAGCTTACTGGAGACCTCATCGTTATCCACGACAACGTTAAAGAGCGCACCCTCAGCTGCTGCTTCGGTCACGGCTCTGTAGTCGTTGTTGACATCGAGTAGGTCTGCAATGGTACCATGCACCCCCTCTAGCCCCCCCTCTTTTTGGTATCTACGGAGAGACTCCAGACCACGACTAGTGCCATGATCAAGCAGTCGAGAGAACGTGCTTTCTGCTTTTCGAAGCTCGGCTTGCGAGTTTGTAAGTTGAGTATTGACCCTGTTTTCTTCTCGGTAGAGGTTCGTCTGCTCGTCGTGTACCGCTTTGTAGGCATCCTTTGCTTGCTCGACTTTGGCTGAAAGGTTGACACTAGCGTCTCCTTCGCTCTCAATGGTTGATCGTAGTTCAGCTATCTCGGTTTCAAGACGCTCAACGTCGCTCTCTAGTTGAGTAATCTCTTCATTAGTCTGCATGAGAACAGCCTTGCGGCGGCTAAGGTCAGCATTGCACTCTTCGATTTGAGCGCGCAATGCATCGTCTCGTTGTCGTTTGGTTGTAAAGAAAGCTGTCCGACCCTGCTTCTCCTCGAGACGCTTCTGTTGGCCTTCAGCTTCTAGCAACTGTGATCTGACGGCTTCCTCCTCTTCTTTCTTTGCGTTGTATTGGGGTATCAGCTTCTTGAGTTCGGTCTCTCGTGCGCGTATCTGTTGTTGGAGTGACTTCGTTTGTGTATCCCGCGACTTCTTCGTTCGTTGGGCGGCCGACTGGTTATCCTGCAACGATTTGAGCTCGAGCTCGATCTTGGCCTTCTCCAGTGTCGCTGACTTGCGTTCTTGTTCAGACTGCACGCGATCTTCCCGCAGAACGTCCAAGTCGCCTCTTCGCCTGTTGATATCCATGTCGATTTGCGCGATGTCGGCCTCAGTCTGTACAAATGCTGCCTCGTCGGCCTCCTTCATCTCACGACCCTGGTTCTCCATATGGTCGATCTTCTCAATCAAGGCTTCTAGGTCAGCCTCCTCCCGGGACTTCAAAATGTACATCAACGACCGGCGCTCCTTGTCGTTCCGGCTCCACGCTTCCAATTCCTCCTTCTCGCCCTCGAGTTCGTTTAGACGCCCGTTGATGGAGTCGATTACACCATCGACAGCTCCGCATTTGTTTTCAGTCTCAGACAGAAGCTTGAGACTGTTGGCGCGTCGCTCTTCGTAGACGTTGGAGCCGGAGATCTCTTTCAGCAGCTTCAAGCGCTCAGAGTCTTTCATGTTGGTGAGCGCCGTGACACGACCTTGCGGGACGATGTAGTAGGGGTTCGATCGCGAGAAGCCAGCGGATTCGAGGATCTGCATGACTTCGGATTTGGTAGCGTTCTTGCGGTTGACTGAATACTCGTCCTTCTTTGCGCCGATGGTACGGCGGAGAAAGAACTCGGGTTTGCCAGTCTGGAAGCGGTCTTCGGTGTTGTCGAAGCATACCTCGACATATGCTGACATGACTGCTGAGCCGGATCCTTCGTGTAGCAGCGCCTGACGCTCTTCACGACCCAAGTTGTGGTAATCGTCGCCTAGCACAAAGCGCACGGCGGCGAAGAAGTTACTCTTTCCCGATCCATTACGGCCAACGACAACATTGCAATTGGGCGAGAAGGGCTCGATTTGCATCTGCTCCTTGTAGCTCTTGAAACCCTGAATCGTGATCTGCTTGATGTACCCCATGGCCGCGGTTGAGCGCAATCGCGATGCGCGAGTGGTCCGACTGAGTGATGTGTGCGGTCGCGCGTTGGACGTGTATGCGATTGTGATGGCGCTTTTCAGGACATAGCGGGGTCGGGGTTGTGGTCGTGAGCGAGCGTGTTTTCCTACTGTTGCGCCGACGACGCGATGCGCGTCGCGCTTTCCCGCCAAGACACGCTAACCCAATTGCATCAACGAGGAGCCACGTGATACAATGGTGGAAACCTCCCGAGGTCGTCCAATGATGTGTATTAGCTTCCCTATCGTGTAACCGCTCCGCTGAACGTGGATATCAAAGGAGGACAGGGTAAGATGGATCAAGGCATTCTCCCGGCGCTGATAGCACAGCGAGGAACGTGTTGGACACTCCCGAGCTCTATTCGAGCAGCTTCATTGCCTTTTTTCTATTGGCACCACAGTGTTTCAGGTATCGCCTCCCGCTGAGCGTTGGATCATTGCCTTCATTTCCCAATAGACATGCACTTTTCGAACAACTGCACATGGGCAACGACGCGAGTAAATACGGTGGTTGCATCTTAAACATGGAATCCTTGGCTCGAGTATCTCCTTCAAAAGAGTCGCTGTCGCTAGTAACCTTGGAATAGTGCGAGTTTAACAGTGGTATACATGACATGTGAAGGTCGAAGTTCTCGACAGCGTCACATAATGATGAACACTAACGAAAGCTGTTCTCGGGGTGCAGCGCGTTATCAAAACATTATTAGGCGCGTCAAGCACGTCGGACCAAGCGTCCACGTTGTACGAAGGCTTCGTGGGGTGTCACAAGGTGACAGAGGCATGAGAGGTCTCCCGGCAAATAGCGTATCATTACAACTTGTGACGGTAATCGATACCTTGGCTTTTCGTTGGGCATTGAGTGAGTGACGATTTGAGTAATCGTTTAATTCGACTTTCGGGTTGATACAGATGCCCACATTTTTAGACTTTACAGCGATGCTGGGGTATATCATGTAGAGCTACTTAGGGCAACGAATGGGATTACGCATTTTGGCTATCATCGTGGAGGGCCTGAATTGATCAAGAGGCCCCTCCTATAGGTTGCGGTACTGTTCAGCGAAGAGATCTAGGCAAGACGTGAGCTCACTGTGAGCAAGCGGCGTCGAGATGCATGCCAACGAGTGAGGATGTGAGGATAGTGAAGGAAGCGGGATTTGATTGTGATTGGCACATGGAGCTAAGGCGCGATGATGCAAGGTGTGCAAGGTTGGGGCGGGGTCTGATCGGATTTCAAAGCAAAAAGATGGGATTTCGCAATTTTCCCATGTTGGGCAGCCAACTTTTCGATGCGCCACTCTGCAACCCTGTCTGTAGGACCGGGCGGCGAAACTCGTCTGGGCCAACAGGCTTGCACTCTGTGATCGACAGAATACATGGGTTGTGGAGCATCGTGGCCTGCCGTTATCGTGCGCTACGGTCTGGGCTGGTTCCAGCTGTCTACCGCTGTGCCTTGGTACACACTAGTATCGTTGCGGGAGCATTTGCGTTGGAGGCGACAATGGTGACGACTGCACTTTGGAACAGATGAGCAACGGCAGATGTACAAGCAGTACTCCTACTCGGAGACAGCTATCGTCGAATGTAGATGTGATGGAGCAGGATGCAGAGCCGTCGGTGATTGGGTGGGATCATGTTTCCAGGTGATTGCCGTGAACGGTCCCATGTGGAGCTATAGCGTGACGGTTGGCCCAGCTCTCAGCCCGGACGTGTTCCGCGGAGCGAGCCGTTACAACGTCATAGGCCTCGCTCCACCCTCGCATGGCGGAGACCGCTCGGAGTAGCGCAAACGAGGTTCGCAGCCAATCCAAGGCGGCGAAAGCTGTCTACCATTGTGTCGAGCTAGGTGCCTGCTCAGTAGCTTGGGCTGAGAAAACTGGGATGGCTAGGCAAGTGGACTGTCCCGTTTTGGTCATGGCGGAACTGCAAAAGCGCATGTTGTAAAGACGCAAATTCGGACGGGCTCCAGTAGTGGCAGCAGCTGGCAGGGCGCGGCAGGCCATCGCGATCGAGCATAACAGACGCTAGAGGCCGAGATGCTCGAGCTGGCGTGCGGGCTAGGTAGCGATTGCCTCTTCATCGTCGATCGGGAAGGCGCACTACGTAACGCACCGCAGAACCCACCAATCGCACGGTCCCCAGGCCTGCCCCTGCTCGTTAGAATCGCTTTCCTCAGTTCCGCATGCTGCCAAAGCCCCCATTGTTTGAAATCCCATGCCAGGCGATCTTTGCTCCCGCGGCTCTCTTCCTTCTTCCCTCACAACTGCCCTGGCCCGCTGCTTCTTGCCTTGATCACATAAGCTCTGTCGGACCCTCCTGCCCATATAAGGAACCTCCCGCCTCAGGCCTGCGCACCATACCTTCCGTGCCCCCACCACACCAACAACAAACAACGTCGTCCACCATGACAGCAATCCAACAGCAACCACAGTTTGAGTGGGCTGGCGACGCTTTCACAGCCATGAACAGCCTCAATGGCCCCTCCCAGCAGGACAAGTGGGCAAACGCCTTCAGCAATCCCACCTCAATGCCTCCCCAGCAAGCCTTCTCCATTCCACCCTCGCTGCTTACACATGCCACCATGGAGCGCTACGGCCAAGTCACCCCGCCTGAGGAGCCCTCGCCAGCACACGCCCCTCGGGACGCTCGGAACGAGCGCGAGACGTCCATTCCTGTCGAGCAACTCCGCAACGAGACTGTCTTTTGGCCCAAGCAGGAAGCCTCTCCTCAGATGCCGCCTGCAAAGCGACGACGCACCAGCCGCCAGGACTCGGCCAATCAAGACGCGGTTGCCGGCTCTCTGCCTAGCGTCCCCGTTGTGCAACAACAGGATAACGCCGACGGCAACCCTCAGCCGCCGAAGCGCAAGCGGGGCAGGCCCAAGTCGCAGCCACAGATGGTCGAGGCCTACACTGCAGACGGTTACCCTTTCCAAGTATCGTCCGCTCGCCAGACGCACCTCGAGAAGAACCGTGTAGCTGCCCACAAGTGCAGGCAGCGCAAGAAGGAGTACATCGGCAGCCTCGAGGGACGCGCTCGCGAATTCTCCGCAAAGAACAAGATGCTCAAGGAGAATGTTGCACTTTTACGCGAAGAAGTCCTCGACCTGAAGAACGAAGTTCTACGCCACGCTGGCTGCGGCTTCTGGGCTGTCGACGAGTATCTAGCGCGGTGCGCCGGCGGCCTTCTCGGCATGGACGCCCCTGCACCTGGTATGCCTGGCCACCACGCAACACCACGACATAGCCACAGTAACCAGAGCCCCCATATGCAGAACTCCAATATGCAGAGCCCCGGATTCTCCAACCAACACGCACGACAGCAGAGCATGGTTTCCATGAGCTCCGCCGATGTCGACGATTTCCATGGGCTCGAGCTCCTCAAGGACTTTACCGACGAAGACATGGACGACATGGAGGCTTAGGAAGCCAACTTGCACATTCTCGCCACCAAGGCTTTCCAGTATTGATGCATTTAACATCGCTCTGCCTTGACCTTTGATATGCAATGTGGGCTGCTGGCTTGTCCTTGTTTCTCACTTCTTCCAACGATTTCACGATACCCCTGGGCTTTGCCTTTCTCTGAGCAACCAAAAGCTTCTTTTCTTTTTCTACATTGCTACAATGACCAGCTTGCCTGATATTGCCTGCTGCAGTGGCCACGATTTCGACGACATGGCGTTTGAGCGGTTGACGGGATTGGTGTCCCATCTCGTACGAGTGTACTGCCTAGATTCTACAAAGTATAAAAACGGAAAGGCGATTACTGCATATCTTCCTCAGGTAGTCATTTCAATATGAATGAGCATATTCAGCAACACAATGACCTCTCCCCAGTGATCCACCGTACTCTCATTCCGTTCAGCTCAATCGATCCAGGTTCCGATAACGCGGACCCTGCTACTCCACGGACGTCGTTGGGATCGCGCCTCGCTTACCGACTTTGTCTAGCAATCCCCACATCCTGTCACACGTCAGTCAGCCCCAGACGGGTATCACACAGCATGCGATACTCTCATTGGCTCACGGAAAGAATGCCCGGATTGAAGCTATCTTGGTCCCGAGGTATAGGACAACTGTTTAACACCCGCGGAATTCAACAGTTCGCACGCCAAAATAGCGTTTCTGCCGGCCATCACGATTGATACGAATAGCCTACCACATGACAATTCGGCCCTTCTTAACGGCGCGGTCTTCCCCGCCGTAGGACTGTCCAGAAACAGACATACAAGCAGCTAGCATAGCAGTGATGCGCTTACAGCTACCCATTCCAGGTACGCGGTGGGTCAACTCGCTACTCTGGCCCCATCAGTGACGTTCGAAGCCGAGCACGCTAGATCTTCAGCTCGCGTAGAGTTTTGATGGTTTACCACATCTGGGATGCTACGATGTGCTGAGCTATGAGTCGTCTGTCATACTCGCCGGGGAATAAGACCCACTGCTGCAGATGTCGTTCGAGCAGAGTACCTGAGTGGGATACGACAGGTGTATACAGAGGTAGGAAAGCCTGTATGCCTTCGTACGCGTATCCGCAGTAGCATTCCCGGAAATTGCCTACGTAATTTTACATGGCAGGAATGATCATGCATATTATGAGCGGCATGAAGAAGCTCCAACATTCTTGCTTCGCGAGCTTCAAAAGTTTTCTGTACCTTCATTAGCTACGGACGAGTTTGCCTATCGCGTAGCATACGACACCCTGTTCATGCGAGGTGAAGATCCGGGTTCCTCCATCCTCTCTCCCCCTGGTTAGCGTACTCAGAATTCCGCATCTTTCACCCCTTGACACCGTCGTCTCCAGCTGACGACGGGGTCTTGTTATTGCGTCATATCAGCCGATTCTACCACGCCTAAGTTGCATTGCTGCTTCCCGCTCACAGGGATCCGAGTCTTGGCCAAAAAAAGGAAGTAATAGACTGACGGAAGATTTTGCCGCGAAGACGCCTCGCTTGATTAGTATACGTGAGGGATTGTGAAGTAATGGGACGGGACAGGATACTGCAGATAAGCGAATCGAAGTAGATTCCTCCTTCGATCGTTTCTTGGGAGGCAGGGAGTATGAGCCTGTGTCGTAAGCCTCATTGCGAAGCCATTACTTGACGTCTCTTGACGTCTCCGCGACCCCGCACGACGACAACGAAGTTCCCTCCTCGACAGTGACGACCTTGCATTGACTACCCCTTGTCAGACTTCAGTAAGCATGTCTGTCACTTTACATGTGTACGCGAAGTCCGTCGATCGTCTACAAAAGGCAACCCATCTCCCATTGGCCAGGGAGCACTTTTCCGGCGCGACCTCGGACAGGCCGTCCAGGGCCTCCACTATCCCACGAGGCATGCAGCTTGCAGGCAAGAAATCTCAATTCGGTTCTTCTTACGTATATTCGCCTCCGCAACAGGAATCTCGCATGGAAGTATCTCGGTAGATAGCAGATGAAGATGAGCATCCGTAACCCGCAGGTGGATACATCGAGTGAGTGGAGATACATAACGTCATAAGGCTGAAGGGACCCCACACAACACCAGATTCTTCTCTGCCTCCAAGCAAGGAAGGGGAGGCGACTTTCACCGTTGAAATGCCAATCTCACAGTTCCCTGGGGAAAGCGCCAACGGGCTGCGCGGTGGCGAAACGGTCGGTACGTGGTTACTTGTTCTGGAAGGGAACGTTGGAACGATTCGAAGCGGGCTCTTGGGCCGTGGGCCATAGGATCATGGCTGACATTGCGCTTGGGTGCTGTACCCGCACTTTGTGAATTGCTGGGATAAGTTCTTTTACTGTTGTAAATGGTAGATCTACTGTACATCAAGTGCTTTCGTGTAGACTCATCTGGGCAGTGTAGAGTTACGTTTGTCGCGCAAGCATTGCGATCCTGACAAAGTGCTAGTTTGTCCATGTTGGTACCTAGGTATCTTTGACATCCCTCTACGTCTCGATTCCACACACGACATGGAAACTACACTGCCACGCTCGTACTAGATCCAGACACTGGCTACACAAAAAGGCTGGACTCATGCTTCAGAGCAGGCTGATTCCACCCAACTCCTCTCTCTGCTCTGTTTCTCCGCGCACACACACGCTCTTGTACTGCATATACAGTAGCGTACATTCCATCTAGACCACGACCGCCAGCACTCTAGCCGGCGTCCAATAGCTCCTACCAGAGAAAAGCAAGTGCGCGTGAAGCAAAAACGTCCAGATGGAGCAACTTGTTGGCAAAGTGTTGATGGCAGTGGAGACTTTGCCCGGTGCGATACAGACGTGTCCGTGAGAACGGCGGTCATGGCTAGCGGGTCCGGGGGTGTAGTGGTACCTGTTTGACTCGTTTCGTAAGATTATGTGCTGTAGAAGGTGACGCTGGCGTCCACATAGATGGGCATGATTGAATGAGATGTCGTTCGTACGAGATGGTTGCTTTCGTGACATGTATGGAATCTACTGGGTCAAAGGCGTCTTGAAAACTAGCGCGACATGGTCGTCACCCGCTGTGACGACTGTCTCACCATCTCCTTGTACAAAGGCCATGATACCTCCTCCTTCACCACCTCCCCGGTGTCCCTTCCACTCGCCTACAAGGCCCTTTCCAGCCGCAGCTGTTCCACCTCGTGCATCCCATCGCTTCAAAACACCGTCGTATCCCACACTGGTCAACAGCCAACCTCCGGGGCCTTCCTTGGCAACGAAGTCGAGCTTAACGACAGCTTGTGGTGACTCGTCGTCGGCGTGTGCGTCTTCTATGCGCCTTCGGACGGCGAAGCGGTGTGCGGTGTCGAAGAGGGTGATGGAGCCGTCGACGTTGCCGGCGGCCATGAGTGTGAGTGGTGCAGAGGAGAAGCTCATGCACTCGACGTTGTCGCTTCCAGCTTGGAGACTCGCCAAGATCTGTCCGGCTTGACCAGCTGACGAAGCACCGCCTTTGGCGCCAGCCTGCTTGCCTCCTCCAGCTTTGTTCTTTGCGCCTCCGCCGCTGGATGATGTAGACGCTTGCGCGGGCGCAGCGAGAGAAAGACGGGGGAGTCCGACGATGCGAATTTGGCCTTCGGGGCCACCGACTGCGACGAAAGCGCCCGAGGGCGGGATGCCGACTGAGTATAGTCCGCCCTCAACGCGGAAGCGCTCGTCCAGACCTGTCAGGCCTACCACGGCTTGCGAATCGGTCGTCGCGGTAAGACCTTGGGATGCGGCATCGCCGAAGACATCCCACACGTATAGACTCGAGTCTTCGGAGATGGTAGCGAGGAGCGAGCCGTCGGGCGACCACGTGCCGGCAGTGCAGGTCTCGGTGTGGAGGTAGTATGCTTGTAGGACCTGTAGCTCGTTGTTCTTCTCTGTACTGATCTGGTACACCCACACTGAGCCGTCGTTGGCTCCGAGCGCGACGACGTTGGGGTGGTCGGGCGACGGGTTGGGGATAACCCAGTTGATCTCCTCGACCTCTTGTGCCTCTGCCAGATATTTCCACTTCTTGCCGTCGGGGACGCCCTGCCAAACGCGCAGTTTTCCGTCCAAGCCAGCTGTCGCGACGAATTGTCCCTTTGGCTGGGTGAATGTGATGGCGTTGACTGAGTCCTTGTGTCCGTCTAGGGTGAAGATGCTCTTCAGGCCCTCGCGCTCGGTGGGCTGTCCGTCGCTGCTCGGTTGCGCCGCTGCCGCCGAAGACGCGTCGATAATGTAGCCGACATCGTCGCCGCCTCCTGTCGCGATAATCTCGTGGTGTACGGGGTGTTGCGCTATGCAGAAGATGCTGTCCTTGTGCTCGTCAAAATGCGCGACCGAGTCGTTTTGGAGGTTGATCTCCATCTCCATCTCTTGGCGACCCTCGTCACCCTCGTCGTCTGAGTCCATGGGCACGTCGCCATCGTCCTCCACAATCTCTTCCGCCTCCTCGGCGTCTAGGGTGTTGTCCACATCATGTACGTCGATGTCGTCCTCGTCGTGCTGGGGCTGGTTGGGCGTCGGGTTCGTGATGGCCATGTTGTTGGCTTTTTAATTCGATTTTTGAAATGCGTGAGAGATGTGGGTACAAGAAAGCGCGCACTGCTGTTTGCGCGAAGTTATATGACGGGTGGCAGTATGTTGCTTAGAAATGTAAAATTGCACCTTCTTCGAGTAACTTTTCTGATCCAAGACCCTGTCGGAGGGGCACAAACGCCGACCCCACCATGCCCTCACACGTCATTTGTCATCCATGTCTTTCGTGGTACGGGCTACATTGAAAATCATACTCGCCTTCAAGCAGATTGATACACATGCGCAAATTGTTCTGTATGTATTATACACAACGTCGCCTCTGCACTCCATCATTGATCAGGCCCTTTCTCGTCCATCAATGAGCAGCTAGTCCACATGGACACGCTGATCATGCGCCAGTTTCCTCTCCAAGCCTTTCCAAAAGCCGAGCTAAACGCTCGTCGACCTTTGCGGATGCTTTACGCATATCTGCGGCTTCCTGAAACAGTACCAACAACTCTTTCCGGGCATCCTCATGCAAAATGCCTCCATGTCGCGCTTCCCCGCTCAACGTCTCGGGTATAGCATTCAGCGGTGTTCCTCTCTCTACATCCGGGTCCGGAGGTGGTCCTATTGAAGCGGCTCCGTTCGCAACCGCAAGTGTCTGCAGCCCCGAAGGGCGGAGCTCCGTGTCAAAACACACTTGAATCCATAGGTCTTCGGAAACATAGCTTTGGTTTGCGATAACAGCTCGTGATGAAGCATATACGAGATAGCAAACGACCAATCCGACAATATATGTGATGAAAACAGCACGACTACCTATCACACCAGCTGGCTCATCAAGGTTTCGCGTCCAGACATATCCAAGGTACACTCCCAAACCTATGAGGAAAGCATTCAGAGAGGAGGATAGAAGCATGTTCGGGGCTGACATGTTTAACACCGCAGCGGCAGAAGGCATATACGTGTGAGTCCTGAGTAGGATGTTGTAGTGCTGAACTGATCTTGAGCCTTGAATCCATCTTTTCACTTCGCCGGCTCCTAAGCACCGCCCTAAGATGCGATATTGGCTTGTTGCGTAGTATACGGCCATCATTGATGAGACGAGGCTGAAGGTGAAGAACGCCCTTGCAACCCAATGTGCGCGACTCAGATTGTCCAAAGAGAGTGCGGTGATCGCTACTTGGGCAAGAATCGTACTCTTTCGTTGTTATATTAGCATAATAGACTCGCGGATCACTATCGTTCAACATACGGCTACTGCAATGATATTGCTGTCTTCCTGAGCCGATCTCTTGAAGTCCATAGCGTCGGAGTCTCTGGTGCTACCCAATATCTGGACCTGGATTCTCCATACCTCGCGACTTCCAAATGTGCAGATCATCAAACCGGCCAGACCGTAGTGTTTGACGAAGAAGGTGATACTCGAGAAAATGTCCATTGCGTTAAATATCAAGGGGAGGAAGACCCCATGGGTTATTTTGAACCTTTTTGTGTCCATTGCACTCGTGTCTTTGGGGTACGGGACTAACTTCCAGGGCAAAGTCAGAAATTCAGATATTACTGACGTAATCGAAAGAGTCGATAAGATATAGTTTTCGAAGTCAGGCAAGGCTGAGGTGTATATGTATGTGTACGCATATGGTCCGTGCGGGGCTGAGGTTGGCGTTGTGGCGTTATCAGCCCTAGTAAGACTAGAAGGTGACGGTTGACTACGAGCAAGTACAAATCCACTGCCAAGAAAATAGTATTATCTACGAGGTATCACTGGAGAGCCAAGCATACCTAGGTATACATGGCAGCCCGTGTCTCTCATGGTAGTGCTGTAAGGCTGTTTGGAATGCAAGGCTTACAACCTCGCCCTCGCTTCATCCTTAACAACAAGCCCAAACTTCCCGCTCTTCTCCTTATCCCTTAGCACTCTCCTCAGAATCTTACCGGAAGGACTCTTTGGAATCTCATTGATAAACTCAACTTCCTTGACCCACTTATATCTGACCTTCTTCTCCTTGACATACGCGATGATGTCTTTCCCAGCCGCTGTGCTTTCTTCCGTTCCCGGCTTCAACACAACGTACGCCTTCGGCAGCTCACCAGAGTAATCATCCCTGACGCTCATCACCGCGACGTCTTCGACCTTCGGGTGGCCCAAGAGCAGGTCTTCGAGTTCAGCCGGTGCGACACCGATGCCCTTTACTTTGATGAGTTCCTTGATACGATCCGAGATGTGTATCATGCCCTCTTCGTCAATAGCACCGCGGTCGCCAGTATGAAGGAAGCCATCGGCATCGAAAGTGTCGCGAGTAGCTTTCTCATTGTTGAGGTAGCCCATGACGACTTGTGGCCCACGAGCGAGAACTTCGCCATCCTCTCCAACGTCGCCTTCCGTGCCATCGTCTTTGATGATCTTGACTTCGGTAGAAGCTACGATCGCACCACCCGAGTGCGCATATTTGTAGGAGAACTTCGAAGGTGGATGTGCAGTGATGCATGAACAAGACTCTGTCATTCCGTAGCCTTGTTTGAAACCGGTGTTGGGAAACTTCTTTTGAAGCTGCTGTATAATCTCTTCCGAAAGTGGAGCAGCACCCGACGAAAAGCGTGTGACATGGCTGAGGTCGTACTTGTCAACTAATGGGTCGCGCACGAGTCTGATAAGGATCGGTGGTACAAGTAGAAGCTCACTAAGCTTGTACTCAACAATGATATCCAGCATCTTCTCCATCGTAAACTGCGGAAGCATGATAACCTCGGCATTGAGCAGGACTGGTAGATGCATCTGATGGACTGTAGAGGTAGAGATACGAAGTCAGTATATGTCTCACATGCACTTCGTACAGTTAAACTTACCTAGACCGGTGATGTGGAACAGAGGAAGTACGGCCATGATCTTTTTCTGGGTTTCAGGCGTGATCTGCTGTACCTGAAGACATTGCGCTATGACATTCTGATGACTGATCATCACAGCCTTTGGCAATCCAGTCGTTCCAGAGGAGAAAGACAGGAAACCGCAAACGTCCTTGTTCTTCTTGCCAGGAGGTAGCTTGAATGCCGAGGTCTGCCCGGAGTCGCCATACGACTCTCCCATACGAATTAGGTCCTGGACGGTGGTGTATCCAGGTAATTCGCCTTCCAGTAGGAACACGTTGGAATGCGGCAAGCCTGCAGCCTTTGCGCTCGCAGCTGCAATGTCCATACTTCCAGGTGTAGTCATCAAGAACTTCGCGTCCGCGGTCTTCAGCGCGAATGTCATCTCTTCAACGTTGTATGCTGGACTAGCACCGCTAATCCTCGCTCCTACGCGGAGTCCAGCAAACATGGCTACCGGATACCAGACGGTATTTTGACTGAACAACGCTACTGTTTCGCCTTCCTTGAGGCCATACTTCTTGACCAGCGCAGTGGATATATAGGTGGAGTACTTCTTCACATCGGCCCAGTTTACACGCTCCTTCGTGATCGCGTTTTGGAATCCAGCTAGTTCGTTCGGTGGGTATTTGTTGATAGGCGAGTAGGCGGAGTCGAAGAGCCAGTCCCAGTCCGTCAATTCGGTTGGTACTACAACGGTCAGCATCAATGATAATGCATTTGCATGGTAGATTCGACTTTTGACAACTTACGATCGATGGGCGGTTGCCTGGACTTGAAGATCACCATCTTAACGCAACTGACTCAGCAATGGATCGCAAACGACACGCGACTTATAACCGGATAAACTGATGCGAGGAAACCAGCGCTGTAGAATCGTACTGAAAAGCGCAGTACAGAAGGTCACGGATCAAGAAGCGAGTGACCATCAGATGGGCCGTCTCCATGCCTTCTAATAGGCGACTGCCACCATTCTTCCTCGGCGCGCTCATCTCCATCGGATTCGCAGCGCTCGAGTCGATCGTGGAGCGGGGATAAGGTACAAGGCGGGGTTGAGCAGCTACCCTGCCATCCGGAAGCGGTTAAGATCGGCGCTCCTTCTGACGTTATTTCGGGTAACATCCGAGCCAGGGTGTGTAAGAGCCGCTTCATTGCCACACACCAGACCATCTTTTTACGAGGTTTGAGTGGAACTTCAAAATCGTTAGTAAACAGAATTCAGATATAAGCAGGCCCATACCCAGACAGCTACCGCGACTTCCAAACCTCTCATCACGACTAGCCGAACCGATCCACCATCTCCACAACCAACATGTCCGACGCAGGAGACTCGCAACAAAACCCCATCTTGAAAGTCGAAAGCAACAAAGACCTCAGAATCACCCTCATCGGCACCGGAACTATCGGCCTATCCTTCGCCGCCTTCCACCTATCCCACCTTCTCGGCCCTTCCCAACTCACCATCTACGACACCCGGCCAGATGTCGACCAATACGTCGAAGAAAACCTACCGAAATTCTTCGCAGAAGAACCCGCCGCAGCCGCTATCTCCAACATTCGCATCGCGAAATCCCTCGAATCAGCTGTAGAAGACGCGCACATCATCCAAGAATCTGGTCCGGAGAACCTGGCCTTCAAGAAAGAGCTGTGGGCGAACGTCGAGAAACACGCACCAGAACATTCGTTATTCTGGAGCAGCACGTCTGGTATTCCGGCGTCGCAGCAAGCGCAAGATATGCAGGATAAGTCGAGGTTGTTGGTCGTGCATCCGTATAACCCGCCGCACATCATGCCGTTGTTGGAACTAGTGCCGTCGCCGGATACCTCGGAGGAAGTGATCAAACGGACGCAGGAGTTTTGGACGGGTCGTGGGAGAGTACCGATACATATCAAGAAAGAGACGACTGGCTTTGTGGCGAACAGATTGGCGTTTGCGTTGTTGCGCGAGGCTATCCATCTTGTAGATGAGGGGGTTGTTTCGGTGGAGGAGCTGGATAGTATCGTAGAGAGTAGTATGGGGCCGCGGTGGGCAGTCGCTGGGCCGTTTAAGAGCTATCATGCCGGCGGTGGACCGGCGGGGTTAGAAGGCTTCTTTAAGAATATTGGGGGCACGGTGCAGGATTGTTGGCAGGACGCAGGGAAGCCGAATGTTGGGGACGGATGGGAAAAGAAGATCTTCAAGCAGTCGCAGGATGCGTATGGTACTGTAGATGTCGGTGAGCGCGATAGATTGACGCGAAGAGTATTGGAAGTGTTGAAGGAGGAGAGAAGCAAAGGCGCACAAGCCTCAGAGAACTGATAGTGTGAAAGACTAAGCAACCAATGTATTGTTTGAAAGGGAGCTGAGATTCTACGACGTACTAGTACATCTAAACGATAAGGTACAAGCTGGTGATGACACTAGGTCCAATGAAGAGACCAAACCAAAACACGATGTTCCCCAACGTGTCTCTCCCCTTCATAAACTTCGTCTTGCTGAACGCTGCCAGCGGCAGCTGCGTCAACTGGAACGTAAACAGATATCCCCTGACCTTCTTGAATAAACAGAACATGAGAACTTCATGCACAATAGCGCTGAGTAAGAAAGTGAAGAACGTTGCCTGCATCTTCGACAGATGGAAGAACGAGATAGAGGAGTGGTAGACATGTCGAAGTAGGAAGTTGTGGACGGGTCGGTTCCAGTCGCGAGCGTATTGATCGAAGGACACGGAGTTCCACCATGCGCCGTAGAAGCCGCGGTCGGCAAATCGTGTGACTTCGGCCAACACGTTGAGCAGACACTCCCATATGACGTACCAGCTGAGAAGCTGCTCGAGGAGAAGGGGGAAGAGCATATCGGATACTATAAAGGGAGCTCGTTAGCGGTATATTCGACGGTCTCATAGTGATGTAGCACTTACCGACCCATGGAAATTCTTTCCATCGCTCATCGAGCGACATGCCAGCCTCTTTGTGTCGCATAGTCTCTACGACTACTGGGTAAATGTATGCTTGCGAGATGATGATCATAATCCAGATGACTCCCAGGGTGGCCGCTGACTTTTCCGCTACATACCACCAGTTGATGCGTTCCTGCCTGGGGTACTCTAGATCGTAGACGAGTGTGGGAAGGCACGCCCACTCTACAAAGTTGTAGAACGTTAAGTTGTTCGGGTAGACGTTATCGGTGGTAGTGCACTTTCCACGAAGCTCTTCATCAAGAATCGTAATCTCGGTGTTGAGCACGCGTCGAAAGGCTTCAATCTGTTCCGAATCCAGCGGGTTGCCGGTTTCAATAGCTTTGCCGATAGATGCAATCTCAGACTCTTCCTTTGATAAATTGGTAGAGTACTTTGGCCCAATGCTTCCCCGACGCGTCAACTGGCCTTGGTCAGCTTTCTCAAGACCGGAAGCAGTTAGCGCCTCAGTCGGAGGATCTGTTCGGGTCGGGCCCTCATGCGCTTTGATATCATCGAGTTGACGTAGTTTTTCACGGAGCAGATTGCGTCGTCGATATACTCGCGATACTATTGATAGTCAGCTCAGGTCTCTTATTCCAGTGCGGATCACATACAATAGCCGTTGTAGAAGGAGTAAGCGTGCTGCTTCATCAGCAACACGAAGACGTGGAGAACGATGAACACTGTATGAGTCCAAGGCCAGTCTCGCCAGAAAGTAACCCAGATGATGGTGCAAGTGAAGAAAGTCTGCCACAAAGACTGTATGAGCCAGCCTGAGCCGTTCCAAGTCAGATAGTCGTTGACAATGGCCTTGTGCAGGAAGAAGCCAAAGCTGGTGGCTACACACATTGCGACATCAGTCGTCAACATGACGAACAAGTCTTTGTCGATCATCAGGTGCAGAATCTCTGCATCCCCAAATACGGAGCCTTTCGTCCTGTAGTTACCTGCAGCTATTCGCGCGAGTAGCAAAGCCATCGCAATCCAGAAGAGTGTGAAGAATCCATGGAACGGGGAGTGCGCAGCGGACGCGTTTTGGCGGTCGAATGTGGTGAACTGTTGTGTGAAGACAAGATCGCGGGGTTTCCCCTTCGCCTTTCCATTGAGTTTCTCAGCCTCTCGCCGCAGACCTGACTGAAGAACCTCTTGGAAGACAGGATCTTTAGCAGTGAAGGTGTATTCGCCCTTCTTTCCCGATTGCTCTAAAACGACCTGGATGCTCTTCCTGCGGCCAGCGGGTTTCTCCACCACCTGCGTTTCTGAACCACTGTCATCGGACGGTATCGCTGTCGTGCTTCGACTTCGCGAGTCTGCTGCTTGCTCGTCGTTTTGGGGACTCAAAGTTGTTGCGCCGTCCACATCCAGTGTTTCCGATGCTGCGTTGGCTGTCCACGTGTCGTGACTACCGAGCGCGGGTCGCGTCGACAGTCCCTGCAATACGTGTGCCATTGCTGACTTCTTGGGCACCAGCGGTGTAAATTAGGATTTTTGACTCTGCAGCTTCCTGTCTGTGTCGTCTTCAATAGTTTGCGGTTTGAAGATGGATACGCGGTAGTCTGAGGATATATACCGGATGTCCGTGGCTGGTAGAGAGACTTGTGGCGTGGGTCCCTTGTAACGGAATCATCGGAACAGGTGGATGTTACGAGCTCACGGCGAGATGTAAGACGACGGCCGAGCTATGATAAGATAAATCAGAGCAGCTGACCGCCTATTCTCCGAAAGAACAGATGCGCGTGAATGAGACGCGCAGGGAAATGGCTTTTGGTCGAGGCGACGAACATGATGTAATGCCGCGCCCTGCATCGCGGAAACTGATCCGTGGCTGCACTAGCCACGTCACGTGAAGCTCCAGCCACTCGCAAGGCTAAATTGCCCGGGCGATCACCTGGGCACCTTTGGGCGGCCTTCCTGTTATGCTGTGCTATCGCATTGTTCGACTTTGCGACGCGACACTCTCTTGAGCTGCTTGCAGAGCTGGACTACCCGCAGACTACTGCTATTTGAGGCACAGCCCTGGCCCTGTCTTTCTTTGTTTAGAGTCGGCAACAGCGTTGATCCCGACGTAACCCGCAACTAGCCTCCCTGTCTTATTTTAACATACTGCGGACATGACTTCCTAAGAGAAACCTAAGCCAGTATACTTTTCTTTTTAAATGCACTGCGCTCGGGGTTTGCCAGATAATATGTCTACGCGCTGAGGCTTTGACACCCCGGCTCCAAGGCGTCCACAGGATCTCGCGCACTCTCGCTTCGATCCTTCTGGCACAGTAAGGCGCCCGACAAACTCTTTGAGAGGCTTAGCGACTCTTCAGCTGCCCCTGACTTAATCCCAAAAACGGGAAAAACGGGAAGGCTGCAGGCTGTGAGAAGGCGGAGCACCAATGCAGCATGCAGTTGTTATTGCTGAAATACTCTTGAGGTCGCCGCGAACCGTGTCTCGCGTCTTACCGTCAGTCGAACGCCAACTCACCTCCCATTGACTTCGGAAATCCAACGTGGGGACTTGATCAGCACCAACACCCTTTTGCCATGGCACCCAGACGCAGCGGCGGCGGCGGCACCGGATACAGCAATGCTTCATGCCCCGACGCCTTTAATACGCCGTACGCCCAAGCCGCGCTCGCATTTGTGGTGCTGTTCCTGGTTCTGTACACGGGTATTTTCATATCGACGTTCTTTATTCGCAAGAAGAGCGGTGCCGGAAAGAAGTTGATTGGTGTACCTTTCGTTGCAGCCCTATTCCTCCAAGTCATGTAAGGACAAAGTATCTTTCACAGGCTTTAGAAGTGCTAACATGCTCCAGCGCGCGAATTTTGAGTCTCGTAAGCCAAGTCATGTCAGAGTGCGACAATATCAACTACATTGATTATTGGAACATCAACGTTGCCTCCGCCATCATGAGCAGTTTGGCCAATGCTGCGCTGCTGTTCGTGTTCGTCTACGTCCTGAACTCCATGCTGCACAAGCAATTTGGGAACATGTCATCTGGTTCCAAAACCGTACTTCTGATTACTATTGGCGTTGCGTTTGCTGTCATCCTAGCAGACGTTAGCATGTTTGCCTACGTCGCATTGGCGGACAACTCCTTGGAGTCCAACTGGGACTTTGCGTTACTAGTTTCAAGTGGTCTCGATCTTGCCTACGACATCGTATGGATGATCGTTGTTATTATTTCGGCGGCTATGTCTCTGTCAAACGTTTCGGCATTGAGATCAAGACGCTTACCCGGAGGTGTAAGTCCATGGCAGCTACTATCTACTGGTACATTTGCTAACAGCCCCAGGACCTCTTCGGCTGGGTTACTGCCCTCTATGTTACCCTATTCGTGAACGCATCATTGGGGGTAGTCTACTCATCCAGTATCTACTGGCCCGTAACACCTTCTCTTGGCGCATCGCTGGCCTTGTCTTACATCATCGGCTTAGTCAAATGTTTGGCTTTTATAACGCTGCTGGGCATCGCCAAACACATCTCTTGGAACCAGACGATCGAGAAGACCGAACAAACGTATGCGCCCGTTACGCAGCAGCAGATCACGTACGGCTATGGCAACGGGCAACAGGATTACTACCAGCAGACACCCGAACTTGTACATGTCAAGTAGGTGGAGGGTAGCTGAGGGCGCTTGATGAAGTCACACGCCATTCCTACGTTTTTTCTTGCATTGCCATGCTGTTTCGCTATATACCCAGAGCCTAGCTTCAGAACATGATGTTTATACCATTCACATTCTGCATGATGCGCCAGACTGACCTTACTCTTTCAAAATTCCTGCACTGTATGGTCTCCCAACTCTTCTGCTTGTTCATCCTGCAGCCGGTGTATTATTGTGCGAAGCTCGGCCGCGATAAAACCGAAGAGAGCTGCTTGCCCATTCATTCTTTGGTGGACGTGTCATTGTCAAGGTATAATCTGTGGAAATGAAGAGGAGTTCGTCTTTTTCTTCAGTCGACCGGTGTGAGATAGTGATTCGATACGGAGGCGCGGAACTGAGGAATCGAAACAGGCAGGCACACCTGAGGGCGACATGCACCTGCACAGGACCCAAGCACTACGTAGGACACCTATCATGTCTGTACGCGAAACAACTGTCGCATATCTTTGCCTGCATTGCTCACAGCGCTGTACAGCATCGCATGTGCGACGGCATCCTCATTTGTTCTAATTCCCATGGCAAGGTGTTCACAGCATGCGGCTGCGCCTCAGCCGCAGCGGGTCATGCAGGCACTCAGCCTTCGCAAGAAGGCTGCTTTCCCACTCAATCCGCCCTTATCTTCGCGCTCAATCCTAGCACCATTGCAATGCGACACTTTCGAACGGACAAGTAATGCGCATGCAGCAAGTATCCTACGATGGCCGAAGTCATAGGCCTCGCAGCTAGCATCATCCAGATCGCGGGGGCTGGTGCCAAGCTCAGCGTCGCGTTGTACAACTTCACGAACTCAGCCGCGCGGGCAGACCAAGACGTCAAGGACATTGCCGATGATGTAGAGCTCACGTCGAATGCGCTCGAAAGCGTAGGCAGAGTGTTTGAGTCCGAGGAGGCCGGATCCATCGTGTCGAAGAAGGCTATCCAGGACGCTAACAACATCATCAAAAAGTGCCAAAGCGTCTTCGACGAAGTATCAGAGATAGTAGAGAAGAGGAGAAAGACTGCAAAGGATGGAAAGAAAAGCTTGAGCGTGATGGGTAAGCTGACCTGGCCGATGAAGGAACAGCGGGTCGAATTGAACCGAAGGAGACTTGAGAGTTTGAAGAACAGCCTTGTGCTTTTGTTGCATGTCTTGCAATTAGCCCAAGGTCAGGCGCGAGGGTGAGCTGAATTGATACACTACCATGCATAAAATGCAGCTGACAATAGCCACAGAAGAATGGGAAAAGGTGTCTTGGATGAAGAGCGTGAGAAGATCCGCGAACTGCACCAGCGGCAGCAGGACTCACTCAAAATCCTGCAAGCTCTCGAAAACAGATTCTGCCATATCGCAATCGATGATGAAGAAACCCTTCGAGGATCAAGCGTCGCCTCTCGTGTTCCAACTTTGGAGCTTATGGCCAACGCTCCGGTTATGGAGCTGCCTCCGCTAGATAAAATCTCAAAGCCTCAGCCAAACACCATTACCATCGACCTCTCGACCGCAGATGATTCGGATACTTCTGACAGCGACGCAACGATGTCAGGCGATGACAATGAAGAGCAAATCTCGACCGAAGAGCTGGCAAAAGCAGCGGACCATGTGAAGAAACTGTTGAAGCGCATCACAATGCTACAGAAGAACTTCGACGTCGACAAGAAGAAGCATCGGAAGCGACACGTGCAAAAGATGTATCAACGCTTTTGCCGCAAATTTGAATCCGGTATCAGGCTTCCGTCAGCTACCGACTTTGGAAAGGTTTCTCCATTCATCGATTTCGATATGAACGACAACTCGGGCAGTCTGGAGAACTTCGACTTCGATAGCTTTCTTCACGTTCCGGATGAGAGCACGCAGCTTCCTTTGGATGATTTCTATTTCAGCCAAGGGCAGCGTTCAGTGCCTCAGCAAACAACCAATCTTGATGCCATTCCGTCGACGCAGAGCTCACAGCACCCGCCTCTTATGTCACAGCACCCGCCTCTTGTGTCACAGCACCCGCCTCTTGTGTCACATAGATCGATCGAAACGATTCCATCATTCGATGCGCAAACGCCCTATTATCCTCCAGTGCCGAGTGGAAGTGCAGCCTCAGACTTTCCGTTGGATCTGTCTGGTCAGCAACAACGACCTAGTCTTGGTCAAGGACAGTCAGCACTGGCTCAGCAGACTCCTGAAACATTATCGCAGACGTGTGCGCGGTTTCAGAGGCAGGCGCAATCTATGGCTCCACGACAAGCTCAAGCACAGGCTCAAGCACAGGCTCAAGCACAGCACCAACAGGCTCAAGCACAGCACCAACAAGCTCAAGCGCAGCGCCAACAAGCTTATTGGCAGCACCAGCAAGCTCATTCGCATGCTGCAATGCAGCCAATGTCAGGAATGATTCAAAGCCCGCCTAGTCCTGCTATGCCCATGCTCAACAGGCCCATGCTATTACCAGTCTCTACTTCTAGTCCCTCTATGCCTATTTACAGCAGACCTGTGATTCCTGCGATATCTCAGTCATCACAAAGCCGTGTCGAAAGCTCGCTGCATAACCAGTCTCCCACGCTGACCGCAGATTCGACACTCTTACCACAACCGCCGAGCCCTAACACTGTCCTGCGAGACTATCAATATCAGTTGATGTTCTTAGATTGTCGGCAAAGGAAAAAGAACCCACTTTTGGAACGGGAACAAGATGGCACCAGCCAATCGATGACAGATAATTTGATAGCAGAGAATATCCCTTCTCAGCCTAAAAGCAGTGCAAGACAAGATGCGCACGCATCTCCACGCGTCTTAGGTTGGCCGAATGCAGGCTCAGGAAAAGTATACAAAGCAAAGATGGGGAAGCGTCGAAAACGAGCGTTGACGGCAGAGCAAAAGAACAATGCGGTTACAATGCGCTTAGTGGAAGGCTGCCACAACTGTCAAATCCTTAACCTTAAGGTATAGTATATCATATCACTTTCGCATGTCGTACTAATTGACCATAGTGCGATTATGACTATCCGTGTAGCATCTGCATAAAGCGGAACCTTGGGAGAGAGGAGCTTCCTCACGGGATCTGTCGCGGAATAAACATTAATGAGCACACCCAAGGATTTCCTGAAGAGTTTGAGCGTACTGGCCTGAAGCGAGGCGTCCCTGTTCCATCCAGTTCATCATCAAGATACGTAGGGTCCGATGCCGAGGATTCACCTGCAAGACGAAGCAATTGCATTAAAAGACAAAGCGGTTCCACGTCGGTAGCATTGGAAGCTATGACGCCAGCTTTATGGTACGAGCCGTATAGTCCCACCCCCGGGTACTCCTCTTCAAGTGGGTACGCGGAGCCGATGGCGTCGTCCGACTTCTCTGTGCTTGACATTCCGATTTACCACGCCCGCACGCCTTCAAACGCGTCTATGATAGACCCATACCCATCAGGGTCGCCAAACAATGCAACGGAGCAGGACGCTGGCCAGCGTTCGTCAAGGAAAAGACGACGTTTGGTGAAGGATGAGGACGAGCACTGCACCAAGGATACTGCTGACATAATGTCAAAGCTAGGGGAGGATGAGGAAATGACAGAGACTAGAAACGTGTCGATTTCGGTGGACCGAGATATCGTCGATGTGTTGCTCGAAGAATGGACGGTACCAGTGTATTGACAGCTACATGCTCTTCAGTCTTATCTCAAGGGTGCGCAATGGCTCACATCTCCGTATCATTTCAAGACGGTCCTTGTATGATATTCCAGGTGCACATAAGCAGAACGCTGAGGGTATCATCACTCCACCACCGTAAATTTCACTTCACCCGCGCCCTGAAACTCGATTGTCGTACCTACTTCCAGACCTGCGCTACTCCAAGAAGCAAGGTAGTTCATTACCTCATCTACCGTATCCTCCGTCCACCACCACGACCCGCCGAGATGGCAGAGTATATACTCCTTCCCAACCTCTAGCTCCAACCTACTTAAATTCCCGCCTCCGAAATCCAACTCTCGGTGCTCCGTATACGTTCCTTCGAATCGTATGAACTCGTGTCTTTCATTTTCGTAATGCTCTCGATATACATCTAGATAGGGTTCGAGCTTGCAGCGCGACGTTGCGTCGAGGATTGCCAAGTCGGATTGAAGAGTCTTGACCCATGCGCGATCTGCGTGGACTGTGAAGGGATACGCGGCGTCCGTCGAGAACGTGAGTGTGAAAGCGAGTTTCTTGGTGGGAGAGGAGAGAGAGTATGTCGATGGTGCTGATAGAGAGACGGTGACTTTTGGTGTCTTTGGTCGCGAAGTTCGGGTCTCAAAGACGATTGTGTCGTTGTCGTTGGCGGCCTGCCAGGACATAGTCGGTGTGGCTGGTGTAGGAAGTTCAGACGCAGATAGCAAACCGCCCGGGCTTCTTGAAAGAGAAGTGGAAGTATTCACCGCGCTGACTGGCCAATGCGAAATCGGAGTTGTCGGTTTGAAGCTCAGTCTATACTTCCTATCTGGTCGGAGAGCAGTAGTAATGAACGGCATTTCGCAGGATTTACTGGGCCTCCCTGTCGTAAAAATGACTTCGCTTTGGTCTTCACGAAAGAGGACTGGCTCTGTGCCTTGGCGCACGACTTCAACTTCCTCACCCGTCTCGTTGTCGAGACACTGAATAAATTGGCTGGAGTTCATGGGATGGTAAAGCCTCGAGCCTGCGAGACCATCTTGGAGGTATATAACTCCCTCTTTGAAATTGTACTCTGCGATGATGAGGACTATGAAGAAGACGGGATCGTTTGAGAGATAGCATGTTCTTGCAACGAGAAGCTCGGCTTCAGCCCGCGGGCGAAAATCGGACATTTCGTCGATGTTGCTGGGTATCGGAATTAGTACGGTCTTTCGATTGATTCTAAGGTCATGTGTAACATAAGAGCAGAGTTTGATTGTGATGCAGAAAGTGTTGCAGTTCTTGACTGTGCCCGTCGGCTGATGTACACCACCTGGGCACTGACGTCAGAGGTCTCATCACTCAATATCAGTAGAGGACGCTTCCACGCAGCACAATCAATTGAGCAACCATTAGGGCGTTCAAATCCAAATCCACTCTCTTCTCATCCCCTCACTTACCACCAGCCTACAGATCAACCCAACACTTAGTACATCTCTGCCTCGCCAAACCAAATGGCCTTTGTCCCTCCTCATCCTCCCAAGTCTCCGTATCAAATTCACTAACCACCCTACCCTTAAACGGCTCTTCCACGCCATCACTCCAAAGATGCGTCACAGCATCCGCAATACACTCAATCTGAATACCCCTAAACCCCATTAATTTGGCCTCGCGCCGCAGCCAACGCGCCGCCCCAGACGCAACACCCTCGCCCTCATAGTCGTGGCGTGTAGACGTCGCGTTGCGCATCAGTACCTGACCTGGTGCGGTAGCTTTCCACTCCGCTGGATCCCTCGGGTCGAGCTTCCTCAGAGCGCCGAAGAGCGGACTGAATTCTGGTATCGCTTCGTCTACCGGGCCCATCTTCGCGGGATCGAAAGGGACGAAGTTATCGTACGACAACGCTATGCTGACCATCGGAAAGTCCATTTGCCGGAGTAGTCTCAAGCCTTCTGCTTTCCGGCCTTGGGTTTGCTCCACACTGTTCTCCTCGGGTTCATTGACATCCCAGAATAGTTTCCCGCCCGCTTCTTTCGCCTCGGCGGTCTTGAACTGGTATTCTGTGTCGAAGACGCCGTAGGACAGGCCAGAGTCAATTTGGTGGGCTACGAGGTACTCGAGTTTTCTGGCGCTTTCTAGTGTCCAGCGGCCGAGTGCTTTGTCGGGCCATATGTGCTGCCAGATGGCGGAGTGGAAACCGTGGCTGTGGGCTAGGATGGCGGTCGCCCAGAGCAGATGTTCGGATTCCAGTTTACGGATCTCATAGCGGGGCTTTAGAGAGGACGGGTTGGAGGGAGTAGGCGTCTTGGTGTTTGTTGCTGGTTTGGACATGTTCGCGTGTGTGAAGACGAGAGCCTACTGGGACTGTCTCTTCAAGTAGGAGGTGAAGGAGTTGGTGTCGATATCGATGAGGGGTAAGTTCTGATTCGTACGAGGTGTATTCGTGCGTTTCCACAGCAAGACACGTTGAGTTTCGAATGCTAGCTAGCCTACGCACTCTTGTAGAGAAAGAGGAGGTGCCAAGAGCGACAATGTAAGGTATAACTAGTACGTGAGTGTTGAAAAACAGATAGTTCGGCGTGCAAGAAAGGATCGATTGGAAATCGAAAGTTATGCGTGTGAGTGTGTTAGAGGGCGCGCTCCATGCATCAAAAGGGCTCAAGCAAATGATCCACGCATTCAGCGCAAATCGACCTGTAAGCTTATAAGGCTTATCCTAAGCTTCGCTTCTTCGTCCAAGAACGGTTCATAACGCGGGTAACAAATTTTGTGTGCAGGCGCTCTTGCCCGCGTTGGGGAACCAAGATAGTGCAAAGCTGCGAGGCTTACGTGCCTGAATGCAGTATGTTGAGCCGACCCACACATGTTCCTCGTATAAAGTACTATACATCAAGATCCTTGTTGACCGCATGCTTTTAGCTAGGAATAGATTTGTAAAGGTCTCGGTTAGCGACAGATGTTGCCACTAATGATGGTTTTGTAGGACCTGCAAATTCGTCAAGAAAGTCTCTGTTACGAATTAGTCATCAGATCCACGATACCCACGACGGTCAAGAGAAGTATGTTTCTTATTGCAGGGCGCAAGGCGCACAGAGCGTTAGATTAGTCCTTTACCCTCCTGTAAGAGCGCAATTCCTCGCTCTTTTAACTTGAATTTCTGGATCTTTCCACTCGCAGTCTTGGGGTAGTTGTCGACCCAAAAGACGTACTTCGGCACTAGTTCATACAGTCAGCATAGTTCCTAGGCGGGCCCGAGGCTTCGGATTCGACGTTCTAGGAGCGCATGGACTTACCTAAATGGTGGCTCAATTTCTCCCTGACCCAGTTTCGCACCTCGTCCGTGGTCACGTTCCCATCATCGCCAGCATGCGTGACTATGAAGGCTGCGACAACCTCACCGTACCGCTCGTCAGGCAGACCCACCACGCTAACCTCGCTGATAGCAGGATGAGCGAAGAGACAATTCTCTACCTCTAGCGGATGGATGTTCTCGCCCCCCTTGATGATCAGATCTTTTATCCTGCCAGTAATCTTGATGTATCCTTGTTCGTCCATGGACGCCTCATCTCCGGTATGCATCCATAGCATACCGTCTTCGTCCGGTTGTAGAACTTCCTCTGTGCGTGCTGTATCACCCCAGTACCCTTTCATGAGGAGGTAGCCTGACACTGCAAGTTCGCCGCGTTGGCCTACGTCAAGTGTGCGCGACCAGTCTGACGGACTGACGACTTTGGCGCGAACGTGTGGGAGAAGACGACCGACGCTGTCGATG